CCACACATGCAGGCACGTGCGCTTGCAGCAGCTCAATAGAAGTGGTGCAAATTTGAGCTGGGGCTTTTCGCCTCAGCGCACATGCTCAGACATGCACTTTGGTGTGGAGCAAATTGTTCCACTTGGGACAAAATAACCCTGCCTGGCTCCTCCTGGATTTGCAGCCAGGGGGAGCTAGAGCCTGGAACCAGCCCCTGTGCTGTCCCCAGCAGTATAAAAAGCTGCCCTGCCCTGGCCCCATCCATACAAAAAGCTGCCCTGGCAAGGAGCTCGGGGCTACTCACTCTCTGGAGCTTCTGGGGCCCAGCCAATTGGTACCTGGGTAGACTACCCCTTGTGCCAACTAGACTGCTGCAGCAGCATCCCAAATCCATTTTTTAAAATACCCCCAAATCCATGTTCTTCCACATTTAAAATAAAAAACCATTCTTGTGTGGTGGCTGCTCAGGAGGGGTGGGTCTCCTGGTCCCCACAGGGTGCAGGCCCCCCAGCACATGGAATGCCCCCCTGCTCAGGGCCCCCCTGCTCAGGGTCCCAGCCCCCCCCTGGAGGGCCCCAGCCCCTATCCCCCACAGGGCCCCAGCCCCCCTGCCGAGGGCCCATAACTAACCTTTAACAGCAGCAGCGGGGGGAACATGTGCTGAGCCCAGCCTGGTTCTGCTGGCCCTGGGGCTGCTCTTGCAGCCCAGCTGGGCTGGTTTTGTGGCAGCAGGACCCGGTGCAGCATTCAGGGACCACGTGCCAGGCCCAGCTGTGTCCTGTGGCCCCTCTGCAGCCCAGCTGGGCTGGGGCCAGATCCCTGATGCTTGCTAGTCTGGGTTTGCACCAGAGCAGGTTGCATGGCTCCGAGAGGTGTGCAGAGGAGCCGCGCCTCCTGGAGCCCTGTGACCCACTCTGATGCAAGGCCGGACTAGTGAGCTACATGGGGCTGGGCCAGGTCCTCACCCCCCTGCAGGCACAGGGGGCAGAGGTGGGAGCCGAGTATCATGAGCAGTTCCAAGGCCAGCAGGACCACACAGCTCATGCTCCCCAGCCCAGCTCAGTGCGTGGGGACCATGTGGAGCTGAGCTATGTCCTGCTGGCCCCAGGCAGCTCGTGATCTCTGGCCTGGCCCAATACGCGGGGACCACGCAGAGCCAAGCCAGGTCCTGCCGGCCTTGGGGCTGCTAGTGCCGCCCGTCTGCCAAGCAGCATGAGCAGCCCCAGGGCCAGCAGGACCTGGCTCAGCTCTGCATGGTCCCCGCACAACGGGCCAGGTCCTGGAGCTATAGGAAGGGCCTGGCCATGGCAGGACCTGGCGCAGCACGTGGGAACCATGTGCCACACCGGCTCCTGTCAGCATGGCGCCCGCCCCCCTCTGCCCCCTGTGCCTGCGGGGAGCAGGGGGTGAGGACCTGGCCCAGCCCCATGTGGCTCACTAGTCCGGCCTTGCATGAAGCTGGTCACAGGGCTCAGGGAGGCATAGCTC